AATAGACATCCTACCACCATTGCCTCGAGTATCATGGTGGGGATCATACAAATGAACAAAAGAAGGGGAATGCACAAAAAAAGGCAAAATGAGAGGCATAGTCACAGGCAAAAATCAGTTCTGACCAACTGTTTATGCTTACCCATCAATACTATGCACTGAATTTCATTTTTGTGAAACTCTAGAAATCGAACTGCAATAATTCTGTATACGTGTCTGTCTTGAGATACAGTAGACTCCATGGGTCCTTTATTCTCTGTATTCGTAAGTTCTAATTTTTGGAATAGCAATGTCAATTCAGGCTATGCATGTGCTCTGTCTCCCTGTGCTCTTGTGAATGGCATAAAACATGTAGCAGCTGCAAGCCAACAGTCCTGTCCCCACCACTTGCTCCCGATCCCTCGCTCTCATAGATGAGACTGAACTTGGTTAACATCTGAACTTTTATTGCATCTTCAGCTTCCAACTCATCCATTATCCTTTTTTATAAAGAATTTTTTCACTTCTCTGGCATTTTAATATTTTTTCACTGCATTTCCAAATCAAAGATGTGGAGGAATCTCTTTATACAGTGAAATGAGACACTTTTCCAGCAGAATAGTAAACTAAAGCACAGTCCATTTTGCCGTGACCCAGACAACATATGTCTTTTCTTCCTTGGAGAAGTGTTTTATCTGCCACTCTTTCTCATAACACACACACAAATTGAGACAGTGACAGTAGTGTCTGGTTCTGGAAAAGAAACATCCAACAAAACAGATATCAGCACAGCTTGACAAGGAGTGCCCAGGTACTATACCTGTAGCTTCTGCAAGGAGAAGCCCAGAAGAATGCCAAGACCATGGGTTCCTGTGCTAAAATCTGACATTGACAACAGTGGCGTTGGCACCCAGCGCATTAGCAGAAATTCTCGTCAGAGACCTGGAATCCATGCTATCCATTTCAAGCACAGAGCAGCATATATCAAGCACAAGTACAGCTCAGAGTGCAACAGACTTATCCCAAAGGAGGGATTACAAGATTCCTTCCAAAGATGGATCTTCCATTTCTTTATATATCAAGGTCTGGGAGCAAGGTGCTAGAACCAAAGAAGGCTAAAGTACTGGCAGACGAAGTAGACCAGAATATTGCAAAATATGTAGATGACATGACCTGAATCAGTACTAATACTGATGCTGGCCCAATGAGCCATATCCAGTATCAAGATGCATCTTTGAAAGAAACTACCTTTACTCTTTGCCTCACCACTGGAGCAGACACCAGCAGCTCCAGCATCAGTCCTGTATCTAACCATGTCATTGTATCCAAAGATGAAGTTTTCCTTGCCATTGCCATACTCTTCTTCCTCCTTTCCCTGACTGAGCAGGGAACCCTCTCCCGTTTAGTCTGAACAGTATCCTAAGGAGACCACCACCAGTTTCCTGTGCTAGGCAGTAGTGCTTGACTGACAGTGGACTAATCACAGTCTGGCCAATACTTTTATCATCTCCTATTTATACCTTGTGGAGCCAGGACTGGTTTAGAATCTGGTCCTTACTCTTACAAATGGCAAAGATTCTCTATATGGGCTGCCGAACATGGCCTTGGATATGGTCCAAGGCCTATTAATAATTTTTTTACTTGATCCTTTGCTGCAAATGTTCTGGACTGTCACTTGCAAAAATCAAGATACATTTGACAGCAATATTATTCATCACCTTGACCAGAAGAGTGGACAAGCTTTGTGCCCTGTGGGCAGAATTCTTGTATCCTTCCTTCCATAAAGACAAGTTGGAACCATGCCCTTGTATTAAAAAAAATTCCAAGATGCTTTCTGGGTTTCATTAAAACAAATCCATAAACTTGCCCTTTTTCTTCTCCAAACCATATTCCACACAAGGGCAGAAAGTGATAAAGACTCTGAACTTATCTGAGGTCTTCAGTATTGTAGTGACAGAACTAAATATTACAAATTCTCCCTACTCAAAATTTGTGGCTAAATCTCTCTGCTGTAAGAATCAGAGTATTTTATCACAAGACTGTCAAAATGGTTAAAGCATTTTATGTGACTGTTACCAGCTGGCCAGTGTCCCTCTTCCATTTAAAGTCCTTACCTTTAAAGATTTGATCCACCAGAGCACAGGCAACATCACTGGCCTAGTTCTAAAATGTACTGAAAGTTGAGATGTCCAAGGCACCTGCTTCTTAACTATTATCTTCTGGTTGACAGCTAAATCAGGTGCCAAGTTTGGGAGAGCAGTACTACAGGATTTTTATTTTGTTGGTGTATCTAATGTGCCTCATCCCACCATTCGGAGAAGATGTTGCTTGTATCACTATGCATGATGAGGCATAGAGAGACTGTCCAAAACCAGGTGGTTACTTTCCATAACTGTAGAGTTCTCCACAACAATATTGCCAGAGCAGATCCTACAATATGCTCTTTATCTCTGCTTTCAATGTCTTCAGCAAAGTGAGGGTTCAAGGTGAAACGGAATTGAGGAAGGGTTCATGGACTCTTTGCCCTTTCTGTCCTTGTGCGTAGCATAAGGAAGCACCAGGCAGGCATACAACCTTGATAGATATTGCTATTAAAATTATTCTCAGCTTGTCCACATGGAGCCCAAATGCATCTGAAGTGGGATTCGCTCTGCCCATATCACTTATTGCAGCATTAGTAGCCATTCATTATTGCTCACTGTATTATGAACATGGGTTTCTCTCACAAATGTAGTCTTCTCTGGTCTATTGTATTTTTCAGGAGCATCCATCTCTTGGACAACTTTCTGAAAAACTGATAGACAATAACATTAATGTTATCTTTGCAGTTCAAGGACACCAGTTTGATTGGTATAAGGTATGTTAAAATTTGGAATTGAAATTTAGTCCTTTCATAAAAGTGCAATGTGTATATAAAGACTGTAACCATATGCATGATTTTTTTTGCACTTTCCATAGGATCTTTTGCCTCTGTTGCCTGGTACTGTTGCAAAACAGATAGAATCACAAGCAGCTAATCTAAATGATTTGGTGATTGAAGCTTATCAGGTATGTTTTTTCTGCAAAGGATTTTTTATGCTTATTCATATGTTTGGTTTAAAATTGGGATATTCTAGGGTACCAAAAAGAGTTAAGTACTCGACTCCTGTTGGGTTGTTGTATATTGCCTTCTTTGAAATTCCTAGCCCAAGATCCATACCTGGTGAGCATTCTAAGTGATACGACCTGCTAATGGTTAGAGTCTTAGTTTACTGGTGCCGTAAGTAAAACCAGGACGTTACTGGTGCCATAAGTAAAAGTAGGTGTTCCTAAACAAGGGTAACTATTTTAAAGTTGGGCAGGGAGGGGAATTCTGTGCTTCTGTCATGATGAAGAGCCAGGGTCCCCCTCTGTCATCAGTTAGTGGGGAACGTCAACTCATGCATAACTTGTAGGTCCTGAAAGCAGGCACTGCCAAAGACAAATGAGGGCATGTTGAATTGATTCAGATCAGTTTATTTAATTAGATTTCACCTTTACTTTGTGTTTTCTCTCAAAGTAAAAATACCTATTTTGAGAAAATTTCCAAGGTCTTCACTAAGTAGTATTTCATTAAGGCCACGGTATTTTAGCATTCTACATGATGAATGTAATATTCCTTGCAAGCTATTTCAGACCTGCAAGACAGCAGATTTGTATTTTCCATTATAAATATAACTCCAGTGTCTAGATATCCCAAGATTATTTGTAGTGAAAAGAAGTGAAAATTCACAATGTAACCATTTTATTTATAGGAGTTTCTTTGGGACTTTCCTGCTCTCTCCACCCACTCTTTCTTCTTGTCCAGGATTTTCCAAATCCTCTTTTCTTTTTCTTTCTTCCCACTCTGATGCTTTTGAGTTGGAGACTTCCAGTTGTTTCATGTTTCTAGTATTTTTCCACACAAATACACTGTGAACTAGGCTTGCACGTTTTGCTTTCATGAAAGCAAATGTATTAGCATAAGAAAATGAATTTAGTGTTGATTACAGTGGGCCTTATGTACTTTTGTTCTAAGTAGGAAAACCTATTGGTTTATTTATAAACCAAACCCTGGCTGAAAATCCCTGGCCAAAAACATCAAAGATGAGTCACTGATGTTCAAAGTTACTAAGATAAACATGTTTTCAAATGCATGTAATTAAGCTTCTTTTGGTAACAGTGAAAATGTCCCATTAAGCTAAATTTTAAAACCTATTAAAATGTGAGATCTTTTTGAACAGCTTACAATTATTAGCAATCTGCTTTAATATATCTGTAAAAGACCAAAAAGAAGTAATATTATTTTTAAAATTATCATGTAAAATATTGAGGATACCCCAATGTCTTTTACTAAGTTGTTAGTCTTTATTATTTTATATTATGGAAGCATTGACAAGTCCTAACCAGCATATTTGTCAGCCCGGCTACTTGACAAAGTACTAACTATCCTGAACAAATTGGTAAAACTAATTCCAGTAGCTTTTAAATAATCCTGAGGCTTGTTCATAGGAAACAAGCATCCTGAACAAATGTGAAATGTCACAAATGAAACTGTCAAGTCAATTTGGAACCTTTTATTTAGAGTGGTGTTAAATAATGAAATTGTCACTAAAACAATAACCTGTTTTTATTATACATAATCATTACAACAGGTTCTCAAATGATCAGAAATACAGTCACAAAACCATGTAAAAACAGCTGGAAACTTATATACAGATATCCTAATCTTTTTCAGAATAACTAGCTCTGTGCTTGTGTGAAATATAATTGAGTCTTTATATGAAGACAATGCTCTAATTCATTCCTTTTATTCAGACAGACGAGCTTTCTTCATTTTAAAATCTATTGAGTCAAGCATGCTGGTGGCATTAGATATGTGAAAATGCAATATAAATAAAAGATTTTATTATTATTATTATTATTATTATTATTATTATTATTATTATTATTATAGAAACTGATCTCTGAAGTGAAAATCCAGGTGGATAACCAGCTCAAAGATCTGTATTTCAACATTACAGCAATCTGTCCTGATGGAAGTAGGAATACAGGCATGGAAGGGTGCAAAAACGTGAGATATGATGAAGAAGTATGTTGGGATTTTTTTCCTAGTCTCAAAGAAGTTGGGCTACTTATTGTATTTTTCTGTTTAATACATATCCAGTTGTCTGAGATATTCTTGGGCTTTATTTAAATGGAAATTAGATTTGTGTGACTGCAGTCACAGACTACGTTTCTGTGGCTTTATTTCTCCTAAATCTTTTTTAAATCTTGCTCATCTCATGGAGGTAAGGACTGGGTGGGTGGGCAGAGCTTAATTTTTGGTGACAGTCATGAGTGGCATGAAGCCAGTATAAACAGACCCTTTCTCCTCCTTACTTAAAAAAAAAAACCAAAAAAACCACAAAAAATCCCTACTGTATTTACTCAAATCCAAGACAAAAATCCCCCCACCCCCATACCCCCATTTAACATCAAGGGGAATGGTCCTTGTCTTGGATTCAAATACAAGACAGAGGGGGGTGGGGGGGTTGCTGCCACTCTGGCCACAACCTGGGGTCAGGGTCCAAGCTGCACCTGTTGCCTGCCAGAGCTGGAGAGTTAGCAGAGCCAGTGGGGGTAGGTCAGGAGGGATGACAGAGGATGCAGCAGGGGGACAGTGATTGTAGTCACTGAGGGCAGGACACATGTCGTGCAAGCATGTGGGGGTAAGTAGCAAAGGGGAAAGGAGGGCTGGTACTGTAGGGGCAGGCAGCAGAGGGGCAGGTGGTGCAAGAGGACAGGCCTCAGGGGGCAAGGTATGGGGTGGAAAGCTGTTTGACTCCCTCACTGCCTGTTCCACTTCTGATTTCCCTACCATCTCTCCCACCACCTACTACTGCTTTCCCCACTGCATTGGTGTGGTGTGCAAATGTAAAACAACCCTCCAATAATTAGATTCTGTACATGGAAAAATATAACAAATTTATACATTTTCCATGTATAAAATGTAAGTATTGGGGAGTTGTCTTAAATTCAAAGTTGTCTTGGATTTGGATAAATATGGTAATTGTTCTGTATATTTTGAAACTTGGGATATTTCAAATAAAAGTAATGGGCTGGTTTATGTCCATCTGTACTAGTACTACCTATTCATGGAATTGATTCTAGGACTGTAGCATCTTGCACCAAGAAAATGAGATGCATGGAGAAAAAATTGTTTCCTGTTGATTGAAAGCACGTGTCCTTATGCAAAAGCTTCTCTACTGAGTCCTTTATTTTATATATTTATTCCACTACTTGAACTAGCAGAGTAATTCATTTAGCTCTCCAGGAAGCAGTCTGTTTTTTAGAGTATGAGGTCAAGGAGTTCTTCTCCTTTTGATTTGGGCAAGCTGCTTTGCTGATGTCACTTGTATCTATGTACATAGGCAGTCACAAAACAATGGATGTACAGTGTGACATTCAGAAATTAGAATGTAGCTTACAATTGTTTAGATTTTATTTGCATGGTTGATTGCAGCTTAGCTCCTGGAGTTATAAATGGGCTTGCTAGGGCTTTGTGTTGTTGTTTTTTTCAATTTAAGCTCAGCTACAATGCACGTCGTCATAGCAGTAGGATTGGAATCTGTTCTGTTTAATGAGCAGAAAAACAAATGTTTATATTTGTTTCTGTTTAATTCAAAAAAGCTGAGCCAATTGATTGTAAAAGATTCTAAAGCTAGAAGCAACTGAAAATCAGTCATCCTTGAGAAGTTAACTCTCCCACCTTTTTTTTTACAGTAAATCTGCCTCGCAACATTTTTTCTTTTACCAGCAAAATGCTTTTCCTTAATTCTTGCATTCCTTTTATTGTCTAATCCTTCTTCCTTTCCCTTCATACTAGAAACAAAACTGTACTGTATACTGGAGAGTCCTATAACCTCTTCACAGTACAAAGACCACAGCTAGCCTTGGTTATTATATGTGGCAGTATTCATGCTATTTCCTAGAAGTGTGTTAATACTGTGTGAGGGCAGCCCAGGACTGCACCAAGAAAACAAGGGAGAAAGTAATAAGTAAACAAGCAGAAATCATATCCTTCTGGTTTAAAAGTATGACATTCTGAACAGAGCTTCTTTACTGTTGTCCATGGATGAGTCACTACTGAGGCTTTCCTTAGCCTGCCTCGACAAAGGGTCACTGGAAAACAAAATCTAGCCTACTCTAGCTGGGAAGGGCAATCATGTGGGAAGGAAAGCAAAGAAAAAGTAAATGGTTTATTTTCTTGGTAGATAATCCCAACTTTCTAAATACATTAGAGAGTTTCTTGTTTTTCTATGTCTGAGCTTTGATTCCTTTCCCACAGATTGTTTTGCACCCATTCTTTTTGTTTGTGTATCCTACTCTGATTAGCTCAGGTACCAATCTTCTCTTTCCAGTCAGCCCATTGAGCAGCTAGTACCTTTCATAAGCAGTTAACTCAATCAGTCAAAAAAAAGGGTAGCACTGACTATAAAAGTCCTGAATCTGGTATAAAGTTTGAGGGCCAGTCAAAAGTTTTTTGCTCAGCCAAACATTATTAGAAAATAATAATAATTGGAACTTGCCTAGCGAATGTGTACATTGTCACTGAACACAGAACTATTTTTTCAGTGTAGCCTTCTACATCAAAGGCCTTTTTCTACTAGTAAACATGGGTATCCCAATCTTTCAAAAGTCCTTGTCCTTTTTGCTCAACCAGTGTCACACAGCTTCCATCACTTTGCTGTCATTCAAAAAAATGTTGCTCTCATATTTTGTCCTTCATCTTCTAGGATGGCAGTCCATCCAAACAATGCCTCTGTGGTGCACAAGTGAGTAGGTGAGCAAGTGTCATGCAGAAGCAGCACATTAGACATATCTCCTTTGAATTGTTTGCATGAAATGTTTCCGTTTCTTCAGGGTCTTGACATAAACCTATGAGCTTGCTGTGGACCCCTTAAGCAAGAAGTCAGCAAAAAGAGCATGTCATTACTATGGTTTATTTATGAGACAAAAATTAGGAGGCATCTTGTTCTACCACTTTTGGAGCTTCCTGGGCTTCTCATAGCCATAGATACCTGTTCAGTGGCAGGGTGGCATATTCCAAAAAATGGATGCAGAAAGACTAAAAGAAAATTGGAAAAGTCAGTTTGAAGGGATTTGTAGCACACCTGAAAATTGCTACTCTAGCCTTCCATGTTCTCGGCTCTCCCTCTATCTCTCTTCTCACTTGCTGCTCTGTAGCCACCAAAACACAATGCTGCCTGCTTTTCAATAGAGCTAATTAGTTTAGGCCATGCTCATACTACATGGCATCTAGTTCTTCATTGATAGCACTTTTTTTTAAAATAAGTTTCAAGGAGCTTTTCCATATATAATCACAACAAAGTTATGGTAATGCAAGGCCTCTCCCACTTCTGGACACTCTTTATGGGATGTCTTCTCTATCATCACCTCCAGCTGACTCTCTTCCTGATGGAAGAATGCCAAATGAGTCACTGGTTTCTGATTCCTGGTAACAAGTGAACTGAAAACAGATCTCTCTTGAGTACAACCCTTCTCAATGAGGTAGCGAAAGTTTTTTTTATAAGTTATAAAGAGAAGCACTCACTCATGTACTGCTAATAAACTGCTAATAATATGTGACACTGAGGAGGAAGGTGTATTTTGAATAGTGGAAACTAAGTACAGAGGGAAATGTAAGTAGTCTTTTAGTAGCAAAGGCCATACATGACCTAATCCAAGGTATACATGCTTGTCTTAGAAGCCAGACATGATGAGCCTGGAGATATTTCATACTTCTACCCTGTTTGTTTGCCTAGCTAGTCATAGTATCTTTGAAATTCCAAAAGGTGTAAATGATATATTAGCTTTAAATAACTGACAGGAAATTATATCTATATATAAATGCAGTCTTTATTTTTGTCTTAGGTGCTTTTCAATGTATCCATTGCAATGAAAGGATGCACTACAACTGGAGGACAAAAGTATGCAGTACTCAAGCCTATTGGTTTCAATGAAACCACCATAATTAATATATATAGAAATTGTGCCTGTCAGTGTGAGGACAGTGCAAGGCACAAAAAAATATGTGCTGATGAAACTTTTCTTGATGGGGAAAAGCCCCATTGCAAAGCCACTAACTGCAGTTCTAATGAAAATACATTTTTTGAGAAGCACAAGATGCACCAAGCCCAGCCTGTTTGCAGTGGTCAAGGAGATTGTATAGGTGGGAAATGTTTCTGTCACAAAAGCAAGCTGGGCAAAGTGTATGGCAAATACTGTGAAATGGATAATTTCTCTTGCCCATATCACCATGGAATTTTGTGTGCCGGTAAGCTTTAGAATTTAAGTACACTTCCTTTCCCCTCCTTCAACCATCTGTTATACACAGTATACATCTTACTAATAATGAATATGATTGTCAAATACATATTTATTTTTAAATAAAACTGAACGAATTGATAGCCATGGAAACTGAAGTTCTGAAATATCAAACATTTTCCAAGCTTATTAAATTGGTGTCTTAGATACCTCTATTAAGGCATTCCTACAGTTAAGTACTGGGTCCTTGCTTTGTAGATGTGATTCAGTTTGACCAAATTAGGCTTCTAGGATCCCAATCCAGCCAGTGAGAAGCACCAATAAGCATTTTGGGTTTAGGGGTGCATGGTGAATGGGGGCTGGGAGTTTCATTAAAGTGTCATGCTTAATAACTGCCTAGAGCAAATGCTAAATGTGATTGGTAGGGACCTACCAAATTTGCAGGTGTGCGATTTATTTATTTATTTTATTTTTATTTTTTTAACAGAAAACACCAAATCAGGTGAGCTCTGTGAAAAACAGTGGGCTCTGTGATTTTGGCAGGCTTGCTGGGGAAAAAAAAATCTTACCAGCAAGCGTAAAAAAGGGTGTTAAACTTGGAGCATAGAGGGGAGAGGAGAGAGAGGATGGCAGAGGGGAGGGACCCTGGTGCAGCTGCTTGTGCAGCCTCCCCACTTGGGGATGTCCCAAAACTGTGGTTTAGTTATCCTGGATAAGCCTGGGGAAGCCCGAGGAAGCTTGATAATGCATGGATTAATGGCTTCTACCAGTTTAATCAGGATAATTAAGATGCAGTTTTGGGCCATCTGGCAATCTTTGGGAAGGGGTGGGACTACTGGGGCCCCTTGGCCAATCAGAGGCATGGCACCTCCTCCTCGAGTTCAGTCACCCTCTAAAATTCATTTCAATTCTTGTCTCCCTCAGAAGTTTAAACACTTGACTCATGCTGCCCTTTATGCATCGCTGTTTGCTTCTGAGGAGAGATGCCTAATGATTTCAGAAGACATTTTGGTCTCTGTGTAAATGACACCAAACTATAAGAAAACTGGCTTTCAGATCTGTCTTAATTATATACCCTGAGTCCATCTACAGCCCTATGTAGTGTCAGATACTTTAAGTATGAGTATGGAGTAAAATAGTAAAGCACAGTGAAGATACAGTATAACGTAACTTCAGACCATCCCAAATTAGTGCAGTCAGACTTCAGAGTGATCTTCAGTTGGATATGGTAATGTGTTTCAAAATACCTTGTCCAAATGGAGTGCAGTTTGAGAAATATACATAAAAAGAAGAGATTTTGATTTATAATCTAAAACCTTCATTCTACTATTGGGCTTAATCCTTTTAATAGAGAAAGTGATTTATGCATTTGTGCTACATGAACTTGTCAGTGTAGCATAACAATGTTAATAGAGACAGATGGCAATGATACTTTGCAATATGTCTACCAGAATTATTTTTCTTTATAAAAGTAAAAATTTAATTATTTGAAATTACTTTAAATCTGGAAAAAAATTATTTAGGATTTAGGGGTTTTTATGTTCCCTGTTTAATGAATGCATTCATTTATTTCATTTCATTTTACAGTGTCTGTATGCTGAGGGTCAAACTTTACTCAGAGTTAAAGGGGGTAAATTTGGAGTAATTCTGCTGAATGCTGTATTTTATACAGTTATTATGAAAAGAAGGTTGCTCAGAATGAAGCAGAAATAATAATATATGAGTATTTTGAACACTGCATTGCAATTAAAATTAAGGTTTACTTCTAACTTCCTGATTTATTGAATGCCTAACTTTACTGTTTCTTAACATATTCTTTATATCAATGATCTTCAACTAGGGTGCCACAGGGTACTATGTAATGTTAGCACTGTTAGGCATGCAAACAAAATTCACAAGGTAAACCAAGAGATGTCAAACAGAAATTCATAGTGTTAAAAAGATTCCATCTTGTTGTGGTCTATCTGAATTTCTCTATTTTTTTTTCTGTAGTCAAAAAATACATGAAAACTAAGAGCTGGCACTTTCCAAGGGGTGCCTTGAGTCTAAAAAGGTTAAAAACCACTGTTTTATATATTTTTTAAAAAGGAAAAATCCTTTCCTTAGGACCCTTTTGCCCCTTCTTTTGCCCCCATCAGAAATAGAAGTGTAAAAATAATAATAATCCACTTTATTTCTTTGGAAAAATGTGGCTAGATATTATCAGAACGTAAACAATGAAACTGTGCAAGTCTGCTGCAAGATGTAAAAAATGTGTTTTGCACATGTTTTCAGTAGCCCCAGTCTTTCACATGAAAAATTTATAAGGAAGTAAGGTCTTTTCTATGGCAACTTCACTCTTGCAGAGTGTACATTTTAAATTCCCATGAAATGAAGCTAAGCTCATTACCCTTTTTAGTATTATAAATTTAAATTAGATTCCCTCACCTGCACCATGGCCTTTCATACTTGCATCACTTTTATTGCTGCAATGCTGTCTTCTAAAAAGAAACTCCAAATTGCCATGGATACCTGAATTAGTTGTTTTTGGTCCCTCCAAAACATTGTTGCACTTTTAGCAAACCACCAAAGTGAATTTCTCCTTGTTAAATGTATTCTTTTAACACCAATAGCTTTAATGTAAGGCCTACATAGAAAAACAATGAATAACATTTTATGAAAAAAATCCATGTAACAGCTTTTGCTCAGACTTTCAGAAAACATAAACAAGTAACCATGTACCAAACTGGCAAATTTCAGCTTGAATGTTGAAAGTTTTGGCAAGTTACAAGCACATGGCTATCTTAGAATGAAAGGCTAAAGCAGCCTTACTTATAGCTCTGACAGTGATGATGTGTATCTATTAAAGCAATCTATCTGTCTTTAACTGAAACCATATGTACTGATGACTGTCTGATGTTGCAGGTAATGGTGAATGTGAAGCTGGTAAATGTAAATGCTTCAATGGCTGGGAAGGTGAACACTGTCAGTGTTCATCATTATCAGCAAAACACTGCATAAATTCAAAGGGTCAGATTTGCAGTGGAAGAGGACATTGTGTGTGTGGAAAATGCGAGTGCACTGATCCAAGAAGTTTTGGCCGCTTGTGTGAATATTGCCCAAACTGTAATAATGCCTGTGATGAAAACTGGTAAGTTTCTAATGCAAGACCTAATATATTTACTACCCATGTGTTCCGTCTGTGAATAGTCCTGTTCAGACAGACACATGCTGTACTCATTAGAATGTTATGCTATATAAATCTAAAGTTTTGATTTTCTGCTTGAGAATTCATGGTGCTGCCACACAACTTGTTAACAGTGATGTAACCTATACTGATTTTGAGAGAGCTGTCCACGGTAGGCACTGTTAAGGTGCAAACAGACATCACCCTTTTGCCACCATAAACATTTTTATAGCAGCATAAATTCACAGAATCTTAGAGACGTAGGGCTGGAAAGGATCCCCATAGGTCATCTAGTCCAACATTGACATATGCATTGTCTAACCTCTTAGCAAAACTACATAGTCAAACATGGGGACCACAGCCATCAAAACCTTGCTTCTATAAAGGTTGTTAATATACACTCAAGAGAACCCAGGAAAAGGACTACACACCCCCAAGTATAGAGGAAGAAAGCAAAACCCACACAGTCCGTAGCAATTTGACCATAAGGTAAAATTCCTTCCATATAATGATCAGCCTGATCCTTAGTGGTGGGGCAAGTCACTCTAACCCGGGGGTGGGCAAAATGTGGCCCCTGGGCCAGATCCAGCCCACCAATTGATTGGATCCAGCCTGTGGCTGCCCCGACAGCACTTTGCATGGGCTGAGGCCCACCCACTCATGTTGCACCACGCTCGCACCCACCAACACGGTCCTAGCCAGTGAGCACAGCTTCCCAGCAGGGCTGCTCCACTGCGGCTGCTCAGGTGCTGCCTCCAGAAGCTTTTTCCCCTGCCTCTAGCAGCTGCTTCTACTGCGCTGCTCTGAGTGAGGGGAAACAGAAACTGAGTGGCTCCTGTCACAGTGCACGGGGCTCTAGCTCCTGGCTATCTTGCACCAGCTTCACCTGCCCAGCGCAATGAGCAGCCACCTGCGGGAGGCTGAGTGGGTGGAAGGTGGTGGGGACCTGGAGCCCCGTGTGCTGGAGCAGCAACCTCCCAGCTCAAGCTTCCCCCCACTTGGAGTGTGGTGGGGACAAAGAGGAGGGCAGGTGGCAAGGGAGGAGGAGGAAGAGCTGTCTGAGGTGGGAGGAGTAGAGCAGTACCCAGGCGGCTGCAGCTGCACTGGGAGCTGCCCTGCTGGGAAGCTGTGCATGTCGGCTAGGGCCAGGGTCAGTATGTGCTGGTGGTAGCACTGCATGGCTCTGCTCTTTCTGAAGTGCTGTGGTGGCAGCTGCAGGCTGGATGGGGGAGCGTGGACTGCTCCTGCACCGCCCAGGCAAGCTGTGTTACATGTATCCCCTGCCCCTCCCACTGCCCCCAGCCTGGGACTTAGTGCACAGGCATCCCCCCACACAAACACACCCCACATACACTCCACTCTCCCCCCAAACCCTCACCCCACACACACACACACAATATACAAACATAAGACTTCATTTTGAGCTACTATGCAATTGCCTCTATATACGCTACTTAAAAAAACATAAATCAGGGCAAAAATAATGTTTTTAAATAAAATTATAATATGTTATAGTAGATGTTTTATTTTTATATATGATTTGTTTTCATCTATAATTTGTTAAAATGTTATCATCTGAAATATTTTATACGTGTGGCTCTTGACAACTTGACTAGTCTCAGCAGGTGTATTGGCAGACTGCAGTCAAAATCCCTTGCCTTGGCTGCAGCCAATGCCCAATTCTTCTGAGGAAGGCATTAAAGAACCCCAACATGTGTAGCAGCAGGGAAGATGGGGAGGGGGAATTCCCTCCTGGCCCCATGCAGCAACCAGGAAGCCCAGAAGCATAGGAAATACCCATAGATGAACATCAATATATAGCTACACCTAGATCATCCTCGACCTCTTCTTGAACACCTCCAGTGATGGAGAGTCCACAACTTCCCTAGCCAGTCTATTCCACTGCCTTAATGTTCTAACAGTGAAGAAGTTTTTCCTGATCTCCCTTCTAAACCTGCTTTACAGCAACTTTAAACCATTGTTCTATGTTCTACCCTCTTCAGTAAGAGAGAAAAAGTGTTTTCCCTCTTCTTTACGGCAGCCTTTCAGGTATTTGAAGGCCACTATCATGTCCTCTCTTAAGTGCCTTTTTTGCACTGAACATGCCTACAGGCTTTAGCCTGTCCTTGTATGGCTTGCTTTCCATGCCCTGTATTATTTTAGTCACCCGCTTCTGGACCCTTTCTAACTTCTTCACGTCATTTTAAAATGTGCTGCCCAAAACTGCGCACGGCACTCTAAATGAGGCCTAACCAGTGCCATCCTCTCCCATGTTTTGCATCTAATGCTTCTATTGATGCATCCCAAAACTATATTTCCCTTTTGTCTTGCTGCATCACACTGCAGATTTGTACTGAGTCTGTGATCTACCAAGACTCCCAGATCTCTCTCCATCGTGCTGCCATTCAGTCAGATATCCCCCATTCTTATTCATAGATTCATAGATTCTAGGGTCGGAAGGGACCTCAATAGATCATCGAGTCCGACCCCCTGCATAGGCAGGAAAGAGTTCTGGGTCTAGATGACCCCAGCTAGATGCCTATCTAACCTCCTCTTGAAGACCCCCAGGGTAGGGGAGAGCACCACCTCCCTTGGGAGACCATTCCAGACCTTGGCCACTCGAACTGTGAAAAAGTTCTTCCTAATGTCTAGTCTAAATCTGCTCTCTGCTAGCTTGTGGCCATTATTTCTTGTAACCCCCGGGAGCACCTTGGTGAATAAAACCTCACCAATTCCCTTCTGTGCCCCCGTGATGAACTTATAGGCAGCCACAAGGTCGCCTCTCAACCTTCTTTTGCGGAGGCTGAAGAGGTCCAGGTGCCCCAGTCTCTCCTCATAGGGCTTGGCTTGCAAGCCCTTAACCATACGTGTGGCCCTTCTCTGGACCCTCTCCAGGTTATCCACATCTCTCTTGAAGTGCGGCGCCCAAAATTGAACGTAGTATTCCAACTGCGGTCTGACCAGCGCCCAGTAGAGAGAAAGTATCACCTTGGATCTGTATCCTTGGATCCAAGTATCCTTGGATCTGTTCGTCATGCATCTGCTGATGCACGATAAAGTGCCATTAGCTTTTCTGATGGCTTC